AAGAAAGAAAGAAAGAAAGAAAGAAAGAAAGAAAGAAAGAAAGAAAGAAAGAAAGAAAGAAAGAAAGAAGAAAGGAAGGAAGGAAGAAAGAAAGAAAGAAAGAAAGAAAAAGAAAGAAAGAAAGAAAGAAAGAAAGAAAGAAAGAAAGAAAGAAAGAAAGAAAGAAAGAAAGAAAGAAAGAAAGAAAGAAAAGTCAGATTACCCTCTCCAACTCTCAGGCTCTAAGACATTCCTTTAAATGTTGTTTTCCCCTGCTATAATCTACTTAGTTATTATCGGTTACTTTTGTATAATTCTTATGGGTCACACTGCTAAGAGCGTGGTGACTGTGAGGTTATGAATGAAAAGGTGGAAATGCCAAAGGCACAGGCCACAGTTCTGCCAGCCTCTGGTCCTTCCAGGCCGACAGAGAAAAGTGAGCAGCTCAGGCCAGATGCAAGAACGCTCCTGTACTTCCCACTCTTAACCTTGCTGAACACGCCCGACTTCCACCACCCATGGCTTGCCTACTTTCGTTGTTGAGACAGAATGCCTGGCGAGAATAACCTCAGGAAGAGAGGATTTGTATTGATTTGGGATTTCAGAGCACTATTTAAGTCATGCACGTGGGCATGCACATGGGCAGAACATTGCGGCAGCAGGAGCCTCTGGAGGAAGTGGCCATACACATAGCAAGCAGTCAAGAAATGGGGAGCAAAAAAGAAGAGACTGGGGAGCAGATACAGCCTTGTACAGCATGCCCTCAAAGACCTACTTCCTCCAAATATGTCCTATGTCCTAATGCTTCCAGAAACTTCCAGAAAAGAAGCACCAACCGCTGGGGGTCAAGCGTGCAACTCGGGGAACCTGTGGGAGACAGCTCACACTCAGGTGATACACTGCCTCATCTTTTCTCTGCTGCAATTTTTAGCTCTCAGCTTAATTCCTTTTTCGTGTCTTTCTGGCCCTCCGGGGCTCAGAATTGAGCCTGTGGCCTTGGGCATGCAGGCAAGCATTGTCTCATCACTGAGCTACAGTCTCAGCCCATTCACCTCTATGTTAAGTGTAGGCAGAAACAGAAAATAATGAAAGCTGTTGTATGATGACAGAAACCTCTGCAAGTGTGACAGGTTCCTACTCCAGCTGTGGCTAGTCAGGTTTGTGCCTCGCTCGCAGGGAGATGTGCCCTTGCCTGTGGCTGTCTCTGTCTTGGTATGGAATGAAACTCTCAGTATGGAAAGAAATCTTAGCTACCTGGTCAGATGGCAGACCCTCCATGTCCAAGCAGCCATGGCTTTGGAGGTGGGGTTATCTATCTGTTGGCAGAAGTCTGGGGAAGATGGCAAGAGTTTGAGATTTGGGACATGTAAGCTGTCGGGCGGGACCTTGGAGGACATTGAGAGATTACAATGAGAGATTACTGTTCAGGGAAAGGAAAAGTCATGATTAACAGTTGGGTTCAAAAAACAACCTAGGGTGGCCTGAGTCAATTTACAAGACATCCTAACTATACATTTCCTCACTTTGATGAA